GTGTGATAGCACGGTTGCATTTCAGATTTGGTCAGTACCTAATTGAATCCAGAAAGATCTGGAGAAGGTAAAGACCAAAGTCCCAGTCTCAGGGTTTAGTCACATTTCAATACGATATTTTTGTCAAGATATTATCTGTCTTATGTGAGACATTCTAACCACTGTGGAGGCAGTGTGCTCCCCTCCCTGCAAGTTGATGGCAGGTGAATTAGTGCCAGCTGCACTTGACTTCTTAACACCAGCAGACAAAGCCTCCAGGTCTCCAGGTACAAGCAGTTCCATTTGTTTACACTAGCACAAGCCATCCTTCAATTGGGTTTCCCTGAGGAAATTGTTCGCCCTTTACTACTCAGTCTAATTATTGACTCAGACTAATGGCTCATTACTGATTCAGACTGCTCAGTCTATTGGCTGCACAACTAGGCCAATAACATTTTCTAAAGGTAAGACTCTTGAAAAACAGCAGGAAGAGAGCCACAGAATGGGCCAACTTGCCCAGAGCTGCAGTCCAGAATTTCTCTGCCAAAAAAGCCTGCCTTGAAACTAATTTCTGACAGTCAAATCCATAAAAAGGAACCCAATTCTACATGTTCAGTTGGCTGGCATTTCAAGTTGCTCATCTTAGGTTTCTCAGACTGCTTCAGTTTTGAATCACAGAATAACCTGAGCTGGAAGGGACCCACAAGGGTCATCAAGTCCAGCTCTTAAGCAAATAGCCCATACTGTGGTAGAACCTTGGCATTATTAGCACCATGCTCTAACCAACTGAGCTAATCTCAGGGTAGGTTGCAAACATATTGAGGAAAGATTTTTGCAGCTCCATACAAGTCTTGTCTACATGTAAGATAGTAACTGTAAAACAAGTTCAACCTGGGCTTTGCTTTCTGTGGGTCCATCAGAGCTTACATTTCACCAACTGTACAGGGAATTGCAGATGCTATTGCCAGCTTTTGCAATTGGGAAACAAGACAAGTCAAAACAGCCCTGGAACTTTATGCACTGCAAGAGACTTTATAAAAGAAAGCGGGAATTCATACCACTCAAGACTTTTCATGACTGACACTGAAAGTTACTCCAACCAAAATTTACCCTGTAGTTGCATCATCCTTAAATCCCAGATTATAGAACCAAGCCACCTTTCCCATTTCCTTCAATCAGTTGATTTAAAAATGGTATCAACACCTCTCACGTGTCCAGAAGAGTTAATCGCTAACAAACCAGTATCCTCACTTGAATATATTTCTTCTTCCAGAAGGAAGACCAAGTGACTTTATCAAGATAAGCAATTGCATGGCTGTTTTTGACATCCCTCTGATTCCTGACCAGCCTACTTTTTAAAACCTTCTTCGTGACTGTAAAAGATACCACTCATGACTGCAATATGCTAAATCTGTAGCTTTGAGCTAAAGCCCTAGAACTCCTCAGATAAAATAAAGTTTTAAATTTTCTTCGTTTCACGTTTGTTTTTTTTGTTTCAAAAGGGTGGCACAATTTCCCTTTGGCTGGAAAGGAGCGTTCTGCATTCTTTAGGCAAGGAAGAAATCCAGTCACGTTGGCTCCAAAGATGCCTTTAACTGCTTCTTAAAACATTAACAACATCCTAGTGGGAGAGACTGGGGAGATTCAGACCTCTAGAGGACAGCATGCATTTTCCAAGAGTCTCAGGCCTTTCAATCTAAGCAGCAACTGGAGCAAATTAATGCAAGAAGCTCCTTATGAGAAAGGACTGTACAAGGAACAAGTTGGAATAAAAAAGAGCAACAGAAATCTGCAGGTTTTGGATATCCTAGTCCCATACAAGAGTAATCGTATTCCCTGACAAAGGTCCTGGGAGCTTGTTCTTCACTTGCAGGCTGCATTCAGCATAGAAAGCATGGTGGTAAGTGTCTGAGCTGCAAAGTCCACACAACAAGCATGTTCTCGAGAGCCTGGGTTTCTATTCCACCTCATGCAAACATGTCTCCATCTTCCCACGCCTGCTCTGCCTTTCAGCAACAGAGCACTTCCCAGAACAGAACAAACCAATATCTCCTATTTTAAAATTTTAACTTCGGTGCAAATTCAATTTAAATTAACTTACAGGGCAAATTGTACGAGTAACTGGCTTTGTGTCATACAGCAATAGCAATATCGATAACCAGAGCACGGAATTTAAAAATAAAAAGTATCTCTTGCCAGCATGCTTGCTTGTTCTCTGCAGAAAGCTCCACAGAGCCACTTCTGGAACTACATGCCAAGCCACATGCCCATAGAGCAATTGAATTTTCTTTTCATCAGGAGTGAGAGAGCCTGTGAGTGGAATTGCATGCTATCTCACATCTCCTGGTACTCCAGAAATTACAACTAAACAGGAAGGAAAAGAGGCCAAAACATTTGGAGAAAGACTTATTACCAACAACCAGCCTTTTTCTCCTTCCAACATTAATTTCCCTCTTCTAAAGGAGTGCTAACAGGCTAGTAAAGTCTTCACTTATTACCCAAGAGCTTAAGCCCATCCATCTGCACTATTTCTAATGCAGAGCAGCCTCTATCCAGAAAACTGTTTTTGCCCCGAAGACTTGAAAGGCACCAGCATCACAAAGTTTATTAGCTCCATATTTTACATTCCTGTATGAATGAGACAAAAGAAATCACTTCTGAGAGTCTTAGCTATTACTTTTCCTCTTCAGAGTACTTATTCTGTGCCAGATAATGCTCTTTGACTAAGAGACCCTCAACCAGAAATGGAGAGAGGAGTCGACTGTGCAGTGGGAAAATTCCAAAAGCTCCCAAGTCAGTTGGTAGTTGCCCAAAGAGTTATCAGAAGCTTCAAAGTTGTGCCCCTAAAACACAAAGGTCATCACTGACCCAGTTCCTGCTGGACCCCTCCTCATCCTGCCCTTTTTGTCATTTTGCAAAGGGTTATCTTTACAAAAACTGTTTGAACACTCAGCTAGAACAGATGTGCATACTGGCTAGCCACCAGACTTCAGAGAAGCTGGACCTGCAGCAACCACCTTGCTTCAAGGAAGCCAGGCTCTTGGTTCTGACTTCTGTAGATCAGGACCTGATACAGGAATTTTAAATCAAAGTAACTTACGTCAAGAAAAAGTGCTGACAAGAAAGCCAAATTCATTTTCAGATTAGTCATTCATCACTAGCTGAAAATGTAATGCTAAGTCCATCAAATTTTAAACCAAATTATTACAGCTTCTAAAAGCCCTCTTGATTTTAAAAGACCTGTTTAATAACTGCTCCTAAGTATTTTTCTAACATGATAGAAAAGGGCCAAACTTGCTTGTGTGTGGGCTTCCAACAGCCACAAATGAATTCAGAATTAGAGGGAACAGAAAATTTACATGATTGCTTGAAGCATGCTGGCCCAAGGGGAGGCATTTTCTGTTTGACAGCTACTGCATAGGGCATTTCTGCAGCCACATGACCAAGCATATCCTTGAAATAGGATGCTACAGGCTGCACTAAGGAGAGTCAATTTATATTACAAATTTTAGATCAATTTATACCATTTACAGTTCTCTTTTTGCATGTTCCAAGCTCTAACTTAATAAAGGGAGTGATGAGGAAAAACCAAGTTCAAATGTTTTCCCCTTTTGCTCCTGTTTCTTATGAAATCCAGTCTCAGCTGCTTCCAAATTTAGGACAATAGACCAGGACTACTCAGGTAAAAACCCTACAAAGAGCCTCCACTCAAAAATAATGCAGATTTCAAGAGCTACTTGATTTGCTTATACTTCAGGCTAGTCTAGCAATGATTGCATTAGCAGAATAACAATGGATTCAGGTGTCAATTATACATTAACATTTATCAAAAGTGAGAAAGAAACTTCAGCATTCAGTCTTAACTAAGTAGTTTTCCTTGCATCTTTCTTCTCCCTACCTTTTCCTAAACTACTATACACAAACAATAGACTGGAGAGCAGACATGCATCACTGCTCTGAACATAGCAAGCTAATCCCTCTTAAGTGTCTTCAGGACTGGATTGACATCCCCAGCATGGAAGATGTTCCTCAGATTAAAGTATTGGCATTTTCCTAGGCTTGAAGTGTCAGGAGAACAGGTTTAGAGAGTTAGCACTAAAAATCCTGCTTCAGTAATCAAAACAGGAACTTCTCCCAAGAAATAGCATTCATCCTCACCAGCAGGAGTAAGGATGCATTCAGCACTGTTTTCCTGTAGTAAGGAGACAAACTCAAAAGTTGACTCTGAATCAGGGGTAGAGGGAAGAAATGTTGAGTATCAGGGTGGGGAGAAGGCCTAAAGACAAATTTCACTGCTCCTCAGTGAGTGTGTGTGTATGTGTATATATATATATACACACACACACACATACATAGACACTTCAATGGTCAACCCTCCCAAGACTATTAGAGTGAATGCAAACCAGAGGACACAAAGAAGAGCTAAAATACTCACAGGAAAAGAACAAGGAACTACCCAATGCCTTGCACAGGAAAGGCAAGGACTGAAGACAGTAGCAAAGAAGAACCAATGCCTAATGCACAAAAGAGTGAGGTTTTCAAGCACAGCTAGGGTTTAATCCAGCGCTGCTCCAGCTTGCCAGAAGGTTTTATGTGCTACTAGAAAAACTCCATTTTTCAATGCATACAGAGCCACAACCATAATATTGGCACTTGTGACTCCCAGAGCACCAGTCATATTGATAGCCTTCCTAATCTCTAGGGATTTTACTGAGAAATGCTCAGTATGTTACTTCAAAGTGAACAAGCAGAGGCTATTCTGGACCAGCCACCCACCCTTAGGGAAGCTCAGCTGTCTTGCACTACAACTCAGTTAACAAGCACAGAGCAAACCACACCCTTTTCTACTCTTCAGGGAGCAGAACAGCCATCTTATTCCTCCTCCTGAAGAGGAGGTCTAATGGTACATATGTCTCCCATGCACTGACTGATTAGGAACCCAGGTTCTGAGCTATTTTAAGGGATGTGGCTGGGCAGCTGCTATTACAAAACAAGTTGCTGAAGCACAGGACTTCACTCACCTTTCCTTCCTGAATTACCCTGGCTTGATGGTTTATCAGTTACAGAACCTAAAGGAGAAGGAAAAAAAAAGACATCCATTTAGATGATCACACAGAGCACGTGATGTCACATTAATACAGTCAATATCTCAATGCATAAAGCATCTGTTTTACTTATCAACAGCTCCATTTAGGAGTCAGAAAGCCTGTGGCTTCAACCAATGCAAAAAACATAAGTTTTATGCATTAAGATGTTACATTGGGCTGAGGGCAAATAAGAAATCTTTAGTAGCTGGATGCAGTGATCTGAAAGAGCTCAACAGAGCATTGTGCTAGTAAGAAACCTGAAATAAATTCAAAGGTAAGAAGGAAAGATCAGTAAAAGTCACTTCTTTCATTTGTAAATGTCAGGAAGAACAAATCAAAAACAGATGGGGAGAATGTGCAGGGAATGCAAGTAAAGTATTCTAAAGGAAAGGGATTAAGTGGGACAATTTGCAGAAAATGGATTTCAACCAACCCCTGAACATCCCCAGCTGTTTTAAAGGGGACAGTGAATAAGATCCAGCATGTACTTGAATAGAACACATCTTGAGTTATTTACTATAACTTAGGTCTTCACAGAAAATATATGATTCTACGTTTGTTTCTGCAGTCTGCTTCAGTGCTTCATCCCAGTTTTCTGCTAAAACTTGAACAGGTAATAAAAGCTTTTCAAACAAATTCATTATCAAAGTGTATAAAAATCTATTACAAGATTATTTTTTTAAATAGCTTTATTCCCAGAAAACTGATTCTTCCATGCACCATTATTAAACAGTTCCAGTGATTACTTAACCTTCAGGAAACATGGATCAAAAGTCACCTCTAAAGAAGACAGCTCTGAGAGGCCCAAGAATCTGGTCAAGACAAACTCTAAAGGTAAACTATTCCCCAGGCACTTTCACTTGCAGATCAGTTAATCACAGATCTACTGCTGAATTACAAGCAGTAAGCACAAACACAATATTAGTCATCACAGGCCTAACATCTGTGTCCTACAGTACAACATGACTTTACTTTCCCGTAACACAATTTTATAAACAGCACAAGGCTAAACAAACAGATCAGCAAAACTCTAAAACATGCCCTACCAAAACGATGTACTGAAAATGGTGTCAGTCATATTCTAAGGTTTAAGTCAAATTGCTGTAGCATTTGACCTTACACTAAAATAGGATATTAATCTTCTTTTACTTTTACATGCCTGTGAAAAACCAAGCACTTCCTCAAGCTACATGGACTCACTAGTTCTCAGACAGCTCTCCCACTCAACTCAAACCCTTATGCAAGTCACTTACATTTGCTTATTACCACAAAATACCTTCCAGCCAAGAGGACACTGAATAAGGGAAGAAAAATTAAAAAACCCAAAGGTTTGACTGCGGTCATGCTCCCACCTAAAGAGCAAAAACTGCAAGGTGTGAGAGGAGAAATACTTTAAAAATCCATGAGGTGCAGATTGCAAAGCATGGAGCCAGACGCAGCAGCAGTGCCCACATGGCATCACTGAACATGTTAGAACACTCCTATGCTTACTGCTTTTTCTTTCTTCTTTTATTTTTTCGGGGATAGGGAGTGGGCGAAAGAGGGGAAGTGAGGAGGGCAGCCTAATTCTGTGTTGCCCTCGAATTCTCCCAAACAGCACAGAACAGCTTCCCACCCTTGCCCATGTCTAGTTTGATGTTGCCACAGCAGCACTGTTCACCACAGCTCACAAAGCTAGACTGTACACTACTGATCAGGGCCACATGAAAATCTAGGGACCAATCCCATTCCATTTGAGCCATGGGCTGCCCTAATGAATTGTGGGGAGAAAAAAGAAAAACAGCATTACTCTGTTTTAAGGAAAATTGTGGATTTGGTCTCAGTAAACCACAGTGTGACATTACTGTGTCACCCTAAGTGCCCAGAAGCACATCACTTAAAATACACATGAGTAAAAGCCTGGATCTGGACCTCCCTCTTGTGACCTGTGGTGCAAGCCCAGTGTTGTCAACTCTTATGACACAAAGGCATTCTAAAGTAAGCAACATGATCAAAAGACCCAAATTCATTAGAACAGCAGAACCTCAGAAACTACCAATTTCTCACAAAACCAAATTAACTGAAATCACTCTGTACAAAAAATTACTCCATGTCCCCCAAAATACCACTTCTTTAAAATACAGCTCATGGAAAAAAGTTATCGCATCTGTTATGTGAATCTTTGGGTTTGGTGTACATGGCAACACTGACTCTTGTCTTGGTTACCACAGGTTATTATCTCAATAGTTTTTCTCACTGAGCCGTGCAGAAGCGTCTGTATGCTAACCACAGGTGGACATGTCAGAGTTCAAACTGCAGCGTTAAGTGGGGTAAACTGGTCAAGTCACCTGAAAAGACTTAGCTCACTCAACAGGATGCGTTTACCTCAGCCCTCTTCAGTTATAGAATTAGTATTTGTTGAAGCCACTCCCACAGTACCTGAACATACAGGAGTTTTGTTCTGTACAGAAGAGCCGCTAATAGGCTTGCCATCAGGTGTCACACACCAGCAGTATCCAGTGTAGGTATGGCACTGCACCTGTTTAATAAAACAAAGAGCAGGCATTTCATTTCTCACTATCACCAAACACTTTTTTTTTTTTTTTTTTTATAATTCAGCATCCCATTGGAAGTCCCAACCCAGATGCATCACAAACATATCCTTCAGAGCAAGGAGGTCTCACAGAACACTATATTTGATATTCTTATCTTTTCTTCCCTCACCTCCGCCCCACCCCAAAGAAACATTATTCATCGTACTCCAACTCCTTTAGCTGAAATTCAGGCACCAAAAGAAGTTACAAGTAGTCATCTGAGAGCACTTTAGTTGTGTCTCAGCTCATTCCACCCTCTGCTAAATTCCATTCACTGTTTACTATTACATAGTTGTTCACTGCATCCCAGCTGGGTTATGGAAAGGCCACCTGGTCCCAAATTCCATAGGCATTGCTAGAGAGCAGCATCTGTGGGTATTTCAAGAGCATTTTGTTCAGTAAACACGGCTGAAAAAAATTCAATACGGACTTGTTATGTTAACAAACCTTCTCCAGATAGATTGAAGCCCTATTCTGTTATTATGTCAAACTACACGGTAGGAGCAAGATACAACATGCTTGGTCTTGATATATTGACAAGATCTTAAGAATGTTTGATGAAGGTTCTAGTGAGTCAAAAGGTACACAATATAAGATTCATCTTGCTTAACTTTAAAGCTCTAGACATCCAGAGTTGCCCACTTCCTTCCTTTAACAGAGATAGACACCAGAATTACTAGTTCAGACATGGAACCCCTAAAGTGAGAACAAATAACCTCTGATCTAGCAGACTGGTCTTAGTAACATCTATGTGGGTATTAGTTCACCAGCACTGTAGTTTCATAGAGTTTCATTTAGCTTAATAAACCCAATAACAAACAACCTTTACCTCAGCTTTCAGAGTGGTCAGCATTTGGATGAAATTCAGGATGCCTTTGACATCCCTTGAGACAAAAGTAAATTATCATCATACAGGCATCTGTGTAAGTACTAACAGATTCCAAAATCCTTTCTAGCAAACACCCTGTCAGCCGTGGCTGAGTGTGCACATCAATATCTTCAAATGGTATAGAAATGCCTATGTTACTTTAAAAGACAGAGACGCTCCTTCGATACATTTCTGAAAAAAGCCATGAAATGAGACCACTTCAGAAACAGCCTTTTGTTTTACTTGTTAAATTAATTCTGTCCACTCGCTCTTTTTCCAAAGAAGTTCACTGAAGCCAATTTCCCATTCCAGTTCTCTTCACATAGAAGAGTGATGGGGTGTTTGTACAGTTTCCTTCACTAGGGATCCTTCAGAGCTAAATCAGTCATTCCCCCTTGCTGACAGCTGTCTTCAATGCCCTAAGGTAGCAAAGTTTGTTCAGAGACTTAATGACAGTTTTTTTAAAAGGCTTTGAATATCACATAAAACATGATCTAAGAGCAATTATAACACGGTACGTGGTATTTATCTTGGGTTTCACTAAAGCGCAAATCAATAATTTTACCTCAAGCATTCACTTTTAGCAGCCAAAATCAACAGTAATCTCATGTACCCATGTTACTACACTATCACTACTATCTGCAGTTTCATCTTTATCACAAAATTGATTGCAAATTACTAAAAAGCACTGTGACTATAATTAGAAAGTATTTCTTATTGGTCAATCTTATCAACTGAACATTCAAAAAAATGTGATGGAACTGCTTTGGTTTGTGTTTGTATTTATCTTTGCTGATCACATAGACAACATTGCATTCCCAATAGCACAAGAAGCTGCCTTTACATATGAGCATTAATTGTAAAAATCCTATCCCGGGATAAAGCTAAATTCCAGGATAGAGTCTTGAATTCTTAAGGCAAGATCACTCCATATTACATTATACAAAAAAATCCAGTGTACCCAGCATTTAAAAAATTCAAGTATTAGTGACTAAACAGTCCTTCAACCAAACCTTCAGAAAAATTACAAAGTACATGGCAGAGGAGTCAAAAAAACCATATTGATGTAAATTTAGGATAGATGCACTAACTAAGAGTATGTTATGCAATGCATCTCAATGCAGAGCTACCAATTATATACACTCATTTATGCAAGCCAAGCACATAACATCCATAAAAGTGAAGTAATTTTGTAAATAACTGGGCTTAGGAATGCTGGTCTTCCTTGGACTGGTATCCCATGACCCTTTCTCCCCCACGCTGCCATTAAAAAAAAAGGAAAAAAACCATCTGAAATTGACAGCACTTGCACAACAACCACAAGCACATGTTCTACTGCAGCACCAAAGGACTTCCCTACTACAGATAACAGCTGCAATTAAATCTTATCCTTATCCTAAAGGTCAGACAGCTACTACCCATGAAGAATGGACACTTCAGAAACCTCAAAAATTACTGCAGTTGCTTTTTCTGAATGTCTTCATGTTGAGAGATGCTATCTTTTACCATAATACCTGACCAAGTCTCAGTATATTTAGGTGTCGTAACAGTGGCCTACAGCCTAGGGTTTGCAGTTTAAAAGCTGGGGGGAAAGGTGTACTTTTCATCAGTTATATAGGACTGGTATGACACTGAAGAAATGTAAAGGTAATAGGTGATCCAGTACCGTTTCTAAACACTGTATTTAAACAAATTTTAAAGGTCAACTATTTCAGAGCACCTATAGTAAGGAATCTTGAAAATGTGGGGTTTTACTTTAAATTTTCCCAATTATGTTAGGCTTGAGCTTTTGTTTCTAAAGAAAATTTAAATCTTCAACCCAAAATTCAACCTTATTCTAATCCCACTCCAATAGTAGTGGGATTAGAGATTTTTAAATAGTGTTATAACCAGAAGAATAACTATGTAAGGATGACACATGTTTACTGCACAGATCAAATCTTCAGTTACTGAGTTAATTTTGACTATCAAAATACATGTTAGAGAAAAATGTGTTTGACTTTTTTGGCTCTCAGTCTCCTAAAGCTAAGCATTGTGTCAGAGGCAATACAATCCTATATACTAAATACACTTGATTGTTAACCAAACTGCAGGTATAGAATGCCCATTTCTGCTGGAAAGGCACATGACAGAATTTGACATCTCAAATTAGCATACACCTGTCCAACAGCTGAACACTAATTTACATAATAGGCAACCAGTCAAATAAAACTTGTCGATCATTTGAGGTCTTCAACAGATTTCCCATTAATCTCTACACTTAAAAAAAAAAAATCTGATTGCAGTTCTAAGCACTGCAAGCAGCCAAATCCCTGATTGTACAGGAGGACACTGTTCCTAATTTTCATGGAGAGATATGACATTTCACCTGGGTCTCAACTGAAGGATGAAAAGCATGAGGGACAAACTCAAGAAAGATTGCTCTACTGCCACTGCTCAAATTAAAAGTGTAGCAGCAGCTCCTCTACTCTACCCTGCCATTATCATGTGTGAAATCAAACAGCAGCTAATATACTAGCCATACAATTAAATACCTGCTCTCATCAAAATTCATTACAATATGAAAACATTAAAAGAGTAGTCTCTGACAGATGACTCTGCCTCTTAAGTTCCTGAGGGGAAAGAGAGGCCATTGTTTGGGGTTTTTCAGTACCTCACTGCACTAGAACCAGATTTCCAAGCAGATTTCCAAGACTTTAAACAAGTAAGCAGCAAGCAGCATCCCTTTACAGCTATTTGACAAAGGAGGATCAAAGGGTTGTTACTGAAAGATAAAATGGAAGTCAGAGAGAAATTGCATGCACATATATGACAGAGAACAGAGGCAAAGCAGCAATTCTGTGATGTCTGAAACCAGTTTCTAAAAAGTTACAGAAAGACGTAATTTGCTGTGAGAGGCTTGAAAGCACCTTGGACAAGCACTGGGCTGAGCACAGGAACAGCAACACTCAGACTAGCCTCTCACTGCTGTTCAGATGAAAAGTGACTCCTATCCCAACACAGATCCAAACAAATATTTCCTGGCTCCTTCCATAACAGAGAGGAGAAGGAAAGAAAAACATTACTCCTGCATTCAAAGCAATACTTCCGTGAGAGAAGAAAAAACATATTCAGTTTTTTAATGGTACTGCTGAGAGTATGGGCAGGCAGCAGAGCTACTGCCTGCACTCACAACACGAGACAAGGCTCCAAATCCTGGCTGCTCCAAGGTGCTCCTTGTAAACACTGTAAAAACAGCTAAATAAATAGCTCCAAGCCAGCAGGTCATCTAGTCTGAACCCATGGTGCAGAAGCCAGTGTCACACAGCCATTCTTCTATCAAGCCTTTCGTTTGCTCAAGCTATGAGGCTCAGCTAGCAAGTCCTCTGAACCCAATTTAGCACAACCAGCACACTGGCCCAACGGCTATTTATCTTAACTCTAAATAGTGATGCCTCTGTTCTGGTTTACGTATCTTGCTGTAATGCTTAGACCCTGGATCTGATTAAGAGTCCGCTGACTATTATCAGAAGCCTGCCTTACCTTTATAGACAATTTTTGGGAGCTATGAATCAGTCTGCATCTTATGTTTGAGCTTCTTTGCAACTGCAACCCTTTAAATAATTTTTGTCACTTTTTCTGATCTCTGCTCATATTTAATCCTTTACAAATGGTGCTGTGCAAATATTTCCACCAAGGCTTTATGCAGCACCCATCTCCCTCAAGTCTATGCACCATTCAAGAAATGCTTGCTCCACAGGAATTTCACTATTCATATAATCAGGGACAGAAGTGATTTGAAGCAAAAAAATCTCAGCCATGGTCAAGGGCATTCCCATCAGACACAATAACACATATACTATTTTTAGTTCAGGAGAAATGTACCTAAGAGAGGTTTTCTGCTTCTGACATAGAAGGAGACGTTTGGAAGTTAAGAATGATCTTATATTGTCACCTTCCCTAAGTATGTCCACTCCTGCTTTAAGATTGTTGCTTTGTTCTCTCAACTGGTACTTTGAAGAAATACCATGTATAACCAAAGTTCTTACCTCCTTACCCATTCGCGGGTTGTCTTTAGCACAACATACAAACGAGAAACACAACAAAAGCTGCAGGAAGAAAGCAAGTGTTTAAGTAGAAGACAAACCTGCAGAGCAGTGCTCACTGAAAGCTACAGCTACAGTCTTTTATAGAAGGAATGTCTTCATTAAAAAAAAAAGCCAGGACCATTTATCAATTAATGCCCAGATATTTTATGAACAGTTCCTTCAATTTAGCAAGATAGACTGTGTTCTTGCCTTCTGAAAGCAGAGGTTAAATCCTTAAGAGCTTAGTATTGCTAGAATATAAGCACTGAATAATGGAATAACACACAGCATCCAGGGAATGTGGGACATGTCTACACAGTGCCTTGATGCATTAAGAAATTAGTTTTTGTAGTTCTGCCCAGCATCATGCTACACTAGACAATGCAGAGGAACAGACTTGGAACATGAAGTCTGAAGACTGAAAGGGTTCCCCAAATCTTTAGAAAGGGGTTGTTTGTGGAACTCAGGAGAAAACAGAACTTTGTATGTGCATTAGCATAGTGCAGAATTAAACTATAGCCATGGACCATAATATAGATCACTCTTTCCAAACAGACTTCTACTACCAGATGTGAGAGTGGTCTTGAAGCTATCTGATAATGGAGAACTCTGATAGCCCACTCAATGATCCTGCCATAAGGTGGCAGGTTTGACTGATGCACTCACTTTAAAAGAAATCGCAGTGCTGCATCATAACTGCACCAGCAGCTGCATTTTGGGAACCCTAAACTCAAAGAAACTCTCCAAGGAGATTTGCTCTCAGCCACTTGTATGATGACTTGTGAGAAAAAGAAACCACAGCTAGACTTTGGAAGGTGGCAGCAAATAGCAAGACATACCACAAAGTCCCACAGAACTACACCCCTAAGGCAGGATTAGCACTATTCATGTTCATATTAATCTGTCTGAAATGGATCCCATTTAAAACCTCAGTAACCTTTTCTAAAAAAGTGCTTGGGGGAAAACTATGAAGAATGCAAGTCTCTCTCAGCCCATGGCAACAAGCCCAATGGCACTAGGCAGCAAAAGAAAGTGTGCAGATTACCCACTAGAGCCTGTTGTTTATGAAGAACAGATCACAGCAGGTTAAGTACAGCATGGAAAGGGAATGGCATTTATGCAAAATACAGCATAACAGCAAAAAGGCAAAAGTCTTGGGAACAGAAACTGGTTTTAGTCATGTCCAATTTCGCACAACATTATGTGACCTCAGCTTTTACAATTAATCAAATTACTCATATCTAACAAACATTCTTATGTTGTGAATAACTCAAATTCTATCTGCCTGCTTATATTACTGTGGGCTAAGTGCAGAGAGCTTTTGTTGTAGGAAGTAATATTCTCCATACAGACTGAAATATAAAGAAATAGCAATTTCAGAGCAATTAATCAGGTCTGCTGCCATTTACAGTCATCCCTTCGTGCCTGCAATGCCACCTCTACTTCATGCTGCAAATCCATGTCACATTTTTAGATGTGTAAGCAGCACTAAAAAGGGATTTGATAAGATCTTTGCAATACACAAACTTAAAAATAGGGAAGCAGCACACATGGTGCATAGGAGTTACAGTGAATTGACAAGTGTCTGCTCCTCTTAATGTAGTACACAAAACACATTATAACTAGTCATGCACAGGAAAACTGGCCAGCCAAGCAACAGAATCGATGGCAATACTCATTCTGGTCTAGATTTCACAGACAATGAAAAAAAAGACAGATTATACAAGAGTTTACAACACATAATGTTTCTCTAAGGGAGGGTTTAAATGCCAAACCTAGGTCTTTGCCTTCAGTCCCTCCTCCCTTTCACCCTTGTTACCAATCTAAGTGTTGGGTCTCAGAGCCAGCTGCCCCGCAGGGAACCAGGAGCAGATAAGGTGAGCACAGTCTTCCCTCTGCAGCTGCTGCCCCATGCAGCACGTGCTGCTGCTCACAAGACAGCAGAGCAGCTATGTTCTCATCACCACCCTATGGCCCCAGCCAATTTGCAGTGGATCCAGCCCCAAATTTAGTTTTGAACTATCTACAATGCCAAGAGCTGGAAAGGGCACACTTGAGCTGCTCTCAGAGGAACAGCCCTCACCTAGTGCTGCTTTCAGTGTTTACCCATAGATTGCAATTCAGTTTCTAATAAAGAGAATGATGACAAACTACAAAAGTAACAGTTCAACCTGGTTAAGGCCAAACAGGTTTTCTGAACATAGTTACCACTACCAAATGCTTCCACAAAGCTCATGCTTTTCACTACTACAAAAATTTCAAGGATTTCCAACAATTAATTAATTAGATAAAAATTCAGATCTTTTTAACTCTGATGGCAAGGACAATAACATGGGCCTGAACACCTACCATGTTCAGTAGGCTCTGCAAGACCTGAAAGAAATCCACATCTTGAGTGAGCACTGTAACAATTTAGACATTTGATATTCTAAATATATGCAGGCATCTTTTTTTCCACTCTGATCAGAATTTTTCTTTTACACAAAACACTTTTTCAAACTCAGTTACACAGAAAAGATGGGGGGAAGTTGTTGAAGAAATTTCCCCAACCTGCTCTATGTACAGGGTTTACGCGGAAGCATGTGCCTCTGCTTAAGCTCTTGTTGGGATGGGAATTCCATGTTGAAGAGCAGGGTGGGTATTTCTCCTAGAAACTTTGTTGAGAGATACTGCTCCGTTGTGGACTTCCCAACCGAGATTTTGGAGTCTGGATGGAGCAACACTCTGAGTAATGAACTCGAATAAACTAACAGTCCAGTGCTGACTTCATCATAAGGCCTGAGGGACTTCAAGAACACAGCCTCCCTGTAGAGCAGAACCCAGGAGCATCGCTTCTCTGCACAAGAGATGCACTATCCAAACCACCTCCACCAGATGAGAACTATTCATGAATTGCTGGAAGCAAAACTGTTTAGACTGTTCACCAAAATTCTAATTTTTATACATCCTTTTAAAAATCAAAGTTTAATTAATTTGGACCAGGAGCTAAAGGAAATATTTGCCTCAAATGCAGGTTGAAACTAGTTAGCATTCTTGGACATTATTTTTTCATTTAAATCTTATGCAGGGAAAATGACCTTAAATGTTGCAATATAACTGATGAAGCTGGTTCATGAGGTATGTGCAATATAGGGTATTTTCACAATCCAAGGAACAATATGAATTTCAGTTAATTCCAGCTACAAAGAGATCAGAGGCTTCCTTCATCCTGGCAGGTAAAACAAAAGCACTTCAGTGTTCACAGATAGAACTGAACAGAGGAAGAATGTGAAATATTGCTTGACTGCCAAATGAAAACACAATTTTTTTAAGCAGTTTCCTGCTGCCCCTCAACTGGCAACCAACAATAGCCAAAGAATGTACAGGAAAGAAGTCCAGCAACTGCTCACAATCCAGACATTGGTACCAACCTCAAAAATAAATATGTCTGAAACAGCTTTATCAACTACACTATCAGTCCAGCTTATTAGGATAAAAATTTCACCTGCACCCCTACTTAACTCTCCAAGAGGTTGATAGACAGGTAATAGACATTTGAAAGTCAGCTTTCCTTCCTCCTTTTTTCTTGAACTATGAAGTTTAACATGGAACATTTTGCTGGCCCACAGTGCTAGGTTTTATAAGTATTTCCCTCCAGTGCCAACACAACCTGAGCAGCTCTACACAAAATCAAATTTCAACAACTGAAATTGTACTTAAATTGGAAGAAACTGCAGCCATCTTCTCTTACCCTCACCTTCCTGTGATGGTCCACAGCACACAAATATGATGCTGTTCCAAAGTAGCACGCAAAGTTGGCAGGATGGATAAAATTTTTCCCACTTCACCATTAAAAATCAAAACAAAACACTCCCACACATCAGATAATGTGAGGGTAAGGCTGAGGAAGGGAATAAAAATTTTTGGTGGGTTATCACACACACACACACACAAAAAAAAAAAAAAATCTTTCCTCTCCTATTCCCCCAGGCATCACAAAATGTTTGAACCAAACCCAAAGCTCTTTGCCTTTCTCATCTTTTTTAAGCCAATATTGATTCCATTTTGGGATATCTTCTACCTTCAAAAGACTTTGCAAACAATAACTTCTGTATCCTAAAATTTCTCTGAGGAACAAGATGTCTAGAGCAGGGCTAGATACATGGAAGCTAAGGTAAAAAAAGTTCTGTGATTTACCTAGAGTCACAAAAAAGAGGTCATAGGGTTGCAGGATTTTGGCTTTTGAAATGCATGCAAAACTGAGCAAACAGCACACCCCTCCCACCTGTCAGGAAACTCTGCATGAGCCATTTTTAACAGGCAGTTCAGTTAGCCCTGGGACACTACCCAATATGCCAGTGGTAACAGAAGCAAGTATCATTCTTCATTTCTACCCTGCTTTGGCAAACTTCAGCAAGTGAACAGTAAAGAGTCAAAAACCCAAACAAAGAAGTTTCATCATCTCTCTGCCAGACGTCCAAACTACAAAAGAGCACAGTACAAGAAGTATCCTGCAAAAGGAAGAAGCTGAAGAGATTACTTTTTTGCTGGGATAGATGAAGTACAGGTAACACCAGAATCAGCCGGATCCACCCTGTTGTAAACCACAGCTCCCTTTACAGCTCCTCTTCATGGAAAAATTTACCTCCCCTGCAACTGTTTTTGTTTCTACACAGTGCTGAAGGTTGATGCCATTTGTTTCTGTACTACATTCGAGCTGTATGCTACTGCATTTCTATTTGTCTTTAAGGTATTGTGACTGAATCAAACCTTCCATTTGGTTAAAGTCTCCAGCTTTCAACATTTTCACCTGAGTAACTGAGTCAGGGTGTGAACCCATGCTGCTATCATCACTTGGCTCATGGCGTAACAGTGGATCTCCCATAGACACCTGAAGCCTGGTTGAAAGAAGCAAATAGAAATTTTACCTGAGTGAATGATCCATCCTCATTGCATTCTGGGATGAAGACTGCTTCCTGGGGCTTCTTTGCCTGTTCCAGTGCTTGAGCTCTCTCTAATCGACACTTGCTTTGGCCAGCATCTATGAAGAGAAACACAAAACCCACTTACATTGCAAACATCATTTGGCCCCTCCAAAAGCTACCAGATGCACCTAGCAGCTGTGAGGGAAAAAACTCCAAACAAATAAATATAAAGCATAAAGGATCATTAGCTGCATGTTCACAAAGCAGATATCAAGTTAGCACTCATGATCTCAAAGACAAATATGAACCTAGACAATCATACTATAATCCAGTTAATGAAAAGTTGCCTAATTTCCTAGTCAATAGTTTTTATGGTCATCTAAGGACTCTGGAAGCTTCTTTCAACAAGTGCTGGAACACAATGTCCATGCAGGGAGTTGTGTTTGTGTTAGCATTAAGAGCCTGAAACTGGATGGCTGAGTATAAAGCAAGAATTTAGGCTCAGCAGTGAGCAGTGTGGAAGAAGGGATGACCCTACCAAAAATTCTTCTCTGAGCAACTCTCCCAATAAGATGCTAAAATAGCCAGTCACCCATTTGGACTTCCACCTTTGTGTTGTTCAGGTAAGGTAGACACACAGTTTCCTGTGCTTTCCTGAAACTCACCTTGTACCTCCAGTCCCAATGCTTAAAGCCAGGTGTTCATTATAACTTTCTCATATCAGTTACTCACTTTGATGCCAAGAAAAAACATTGCTCTGCAAGCAGAGTCTGAAGGGGTTAAGATCTCAGCTCTTACGTCAGATGATGGCAGTGTGTAGCATAATGACTTTAACCCCTTCCAGGGCTAGCTCACTGTTAAAGTACACTCAGGTAAGTCTTACACTGATGACTGATGGGTCAAAGAGGAGAGTTCTGCCCTGTAGAGGATACAGATTGATTCAGTGTTTACATTTAAAAACATGAGGTCTAACAGTACTGCTGTTCAGTCTAGAAAGAGAAGGAAAAGAGCAAACATCTGTCTCCATGGCACTCTAACACAGGGACTAGGCACCTTCTTCCTTATTCCATGAATCCACTGACTAAAGACTTTCAGTGCAGAAACTGCAAAATTTGATCACCAGAATCTTTCAGCAGCACCATAAAGAGTGACCAAGACTGAATCCCCATTCCAAGCATGGAAATCATATTGGTTAGCAAAAAATTCCACTGGATCCCTGGAGTTCACATATTCTGTTTCACAGATCACATGAACTTCAACAACAGCATCACTAGTACCATCACTTAACTAGAAAGTGGCTCTGGGTTCTTAGATCAACTGAATTCATACTGCATGGCTACAGAAGCAACTTCCATCTAAGCATAACTAGATATAGAAATCAATTACAATGCTGTAAATAGTTTTGATAAACGCATAGACCAAAGCTTTCAAGCTACATACTTTATTTACTGATGACTCAAGACACTAAGTTTCCAGTTTGCCAACAGAGTTTAATTTTAAACATACCACATTACTCCCTACGAAGGATTTCACAAGGTTTACAAAATAATGAAAATCAAACCCTTCTCTCTGAAAAAAGTAAGGATTCATAGCAATAGTCTCATAGGTGCCGGTCACTTAGGGGCTGGGTTAGAAAGCAATAGTGCCTATATCAACTCTGCCACTGACTACTGAATGACTACAAGTTGGTCATTTCACCTCCTTGTGACCTCATGTCACTTCTCATCCTATGTCACTCATCTTTGGACTAATTTGTTTGGGGCGTGTTTGCAAAATATCCTTAGCACATGGAGCTTTGATCTCAGGTGGACCTATTAAGTACCTGTACTAAGAGCAAGGTTGTTACAGAATGAAAAGACTTGAATAGAATTTACACTGTATTTAGAGAAGCGGTATTTATTTTTCTAGTTCTCCATGAAATAAGCTGTGATATGGAATTTCCTTTTCCACTGCTTGCCAAAGCGACCAGATGATCAGACCTTGTTTGCACATCTCCCGTGGAGGACAGTCCTGCAAACTGACCCTTTGTCAAAGGGGCAACTATGTGCTCTTTCTTTCAGATGAAAAGGAAGCACTGGCAATGTTGTTAATTTTAACACCTATCACCTGCAGATCTCCCATTCAAGCTTAAGAGTAATCTATCTTGACATTACAGAGAACATTATTACAAAACCAAATGGTGTGATTGCACCTTCTGTTTCATAGCTAGCTGCTCTACTGAAAACACTTTCAACTTCTGCTTCACAGGAGACAACTAAGCAGCATTAAAAAAAAAAATCAACATAGATTATGCAGATGTGCACTTGTAAGGAAAAAACCGTGAATTTCTTACATGACAACCAAAGTACAAGTTCCCAAATGAAAATGCTTTCTAGTTTCTTCATCTTAGGATACAAGACTGCAGACAGGCATACCTCACTCCTCTCCTGAACATAAAACATAAGCATAAAGCACTTCCACATAGCATCTGCTTTAGTGCTGGCACACTCACAACTACATGACCGAAACTGGATGCTTCAGCACAGAGCTGGTAAGAACAAACATTTTGTGATATCCCCTGTAGTACAAATACATTAGGAGTCCAGGCAGAAGAGAGACTAACCAAGATCTTTGACCAGTTTCTCTAATGAACAGAGAAACATGCATATGATCAAGCCCTAACTGTAAAAAGAAGATAATAAAACATGTGACTGTGGCTCTCCTGGCAATTTTAACTGACATTTATAGTTTAAACTCTCTACTACCACCCAGCAGACCATAGTTCATAACACACCACCACTACACGACAGCGTTTAAGAGCTTTTCGTTGCTCTTTTGCAATTCAACCCTTGGCTCAAGTGATGACTTCAGAAATGGCTGCTGAAGTACAAAGACAGACAATTTTTCTCCTGTACATGAGCACTCGGGACTGATTACGTTTTCCATCCCCTCCTCATAGATTTCCAAAGGTTGTGCCAGTCCTGTTACAGCCTTGATTTGGAGCAATCAACTATATGCCATGCTGAGTGGAGAGGTGTGTGCATATGGCTATCTTTTTCATCCATCTTCCACAGTTCAGTTCCAGTAAAAACAGCACCTTTAATATCAACATTTACCAGTTTGTTTTTAGAAGGACTGTCAATCCTTCTCTTCCTCACTTTATGGGCTAGTACTTTTATACTGTTTGCATCAACATGTGATTTCAGTGGGGTGATTTCACCTTGCTATTTTTGCTTTGTAAATAAGAAAATGTAAAATAACGCATAAGTGCCACTGTTAAAAAGTAGCTGCCAAATAGATCACCCCAAATAAGATGCATAACAAATTTTATTAAAGCCTGATCTTATGATGGTAGGTTCGTATACCCTACTCTGCATTTTGACGGCTTACTTCAAGTGTTTCAGCATTTTTTACTTCTCTCTTTTTAAAAATGTTCTCTGGACTATCAGACACCATGCCTATAAAACAGAGTGGCATTAATGCATTCCAGTTTCACAGACCAGACAGACTAAATTGGACATTCTTCCCCCCCCATTACATTAGGAGAAAAACCAAAACAGGATGACTTCCTTTGAAAGCAGACCTGCTTAATTTTACTTTATCTTCAATCTTGGGTCAGATTTACTGTAGCTAAGAAAGCTGCCTTTTAAAGAAAACTAATTCTCAAGCTGACAGCTGGCAACTAGGAGATTGTTAACTACAAGTGATGTTTTTGATATCCCTGGCCTAGTCTGCAGAACACAGGTGCACATAATTTTGGGTTTTGCAATGAAGTTGGCTAGTTACCATACTTGATCTTATCCATGAACAGTTTATTCAGACACAACTACCGTGTCCCTCCTAATACACACAGTGCACTCCTAAATAGGCCCCAAGAATTCCAGCATCCTCTCTTCAACAGGCAGAAGCAGTACTGACATCACCCAGCATCATAGTATAAAGACCCAAGCTATCCTAATAACACCAGGTAAAACATCTCCAGACATCTGCATAACACTAGCAGCAAATTGACACAATGCAACCACAGAAATTTATCTGTTTAAACTATCTATTTAATTTTAATTCTACTATGTTTGTATCAAAAGCTCAAAGGGCAAAAATTTATCCAAGCTGTTTTTTAACTATTTCTAGTTCCATTAGGTAACTGTCTTACATGCAGGCCAGGTCCCCAGCAGGCAAGAAGTTCCAGCTACACTGAAGTCAGCAGATTCATATCCATTTTCTTCAGCCAATTTGCATAAAAAACAAGCAAAAATGGAACCTGAGCAAACTGCAAAAACATGCCCATCTGTTCTACAGGATATCAATAATTCTTCACTCTTCTCACTGTCAGAGTCCTACACCTGGAATCTCCAACTTCTCTCACACACACTGAATGGTACAGGTTGGAAGAGACCACTGGAGGTCATCTGGTCCAACCTCGACCAGGGTCCCTTGGAGCACACTACTCAGGATTGTGTCCAGATGGCTTTTCGATATCTCCAGGGAAGGAGACTCGACAATGTCTCCAGAAAACTGTTCCAGTGTTCAATTACCTTCACGGCAAAAATGTTCTTCCTCATGCACAGGTGGAACTTTCTGTGTTCCAGTTTCTGCCCATTGCCTCTTGTCCTATCGCTTGGCACCACCAAGAAAAACCTGGTTCCATCCTTTGACACCCTCCTTATATATTGTTGAGATCCCTCTCACTCATATCTTCTCCAGGATAAACAGGCCCAGCTCCCTCAGCCTTCCCTCACAAGTGAGATGCTTCAGTCACCTAATCATTTTCACAGCCCTTCTCTAGACTCATTCTAGGAGCTCTACATCTTTCTTAAACTGGGGAGCTCAGAACTGGACACAGCACTTGATATGTGGCCTCAGTAGGGCTGAGTAGAAAGGCAGGATCACTTCCCTTGACCTGCTAGCAGTGCTCTTCCTAGTGCATCTCAGGATACTGTTGGCCTTCTTGGCCACAAGGGCACACCGCTGGATCATGGACAGCTTGTTGTTTACCAGGACCCTCTAGGTCCTTCTCTGCAGAGCTGCTTTCCAGCAGGTCAGCCCTCAGCCTGGTGCATGGGGTTATTCGTCCCCAGGTGCAGGACTCCACACTTTGTTGAATTTCAAAAGGTTCCACTCTTCCCATCCCTTCAACCTCCAACAAGTCAAGATCGTTCTGAAGAGCTGCACAGCACTCTGGAGCCACTCCTCCCAGCTTTGTGTCATCAGCAAACTTGCTGGAGGCACTCTGCCCCTTCATCTAATTCACTGATGAATAGATTAAACAATACTGAGGCCAGTACTGATCCCTGGGTGACACCACCAGTGACAGGCCTCCAGTGGACTCTGTACCACTGATTATGACTCTCTGGGATCTGTTGTTCAGCCAGTTCTCAAACCACCTCACTGTCCACACATCCAGTCCACACTTCCTGAGTGTCAAAAGCCTTGCTGAAGTCCAGGTAGATGACATCCACTACTCTTCCCTCATCTATCCAGCCTGTTGTCCAACCGTAGAAGGTAACTTGGTTGGTTAACCATGACTTCCCCATCCATGCTGACTACTTCTGATCATCACCTTTTCTACCTTTCATGCTGATGTTCTTTGCTCCTTCTTTGATACTCACATACCATTTCTACTCCAGAGCTCCCTAATTTATTTGGAGCATGCATAAAACCATGCCTAAATTTACCAAGTGATTGAAAGTGACATTTTAGATTTTACTGACTAACTGCTGCCAAGGAGGGACACACTTATTCATAGTCAAGGGAGAATAAAGTAAGTTCAAAGATAAAACACATGGATCTAGCAAGCAGACTAAGTGATTTCAAAATGCCATCTCCCATCCAACAAAAATAGTAGGTAGAGGAGAAAGATTATCTACAAACACCCCATCAGTCAGGAGGAGACCTGTCTTTCCAGAACATTAGCCAGAAGTTGCATTCATCTCCTGTGTCCCAGGACAAAAGCTGAAGACCTGTTAAAATTTCCACCACTAATTTGCAGATAGGTTCACTCTATGCAGTGACTTGTGATTTAAGAACAAGCTCTGTACCAGCAGACTTTCCAAATCAACCACTATAAATCTAAAGGGAAGGTTTTAGAACACTCCTACACTGGGGTTTTTGTAATTAAATAAGCCAAACAAGTTCCTAGAAACCAACCAGTTAACACAGAACTTAAATGTGTTCTAAGTCACGGATATCCAATATACCAATATAACAATCACTGCATAAATCAGTCTTGGCCAATTGTCATGATTAACAAGTATTCATCCTTCATCCTTGCAAAGTTTAGAGGTATAACTCTTATTTGACATCAGATCTTATGATGCCTTCTGACAAAAGATGCAGTTAGAATTGCTTGTCTGTGTATTTTACACACAGCTATACCATCTGGAATATTCTATACAGTCTCATCAGTGAGGCTCCATTTGTCATGGATGCCACAGTTTGATCATTTTAAGCTACTCCTAACTTCTAACCCTTTATGATGTGTGAGTGAGGGTTTGAAAGAAGTTCAGATAATTTAGCACTGAAGGAATTTCACTGAAAAGCAGGTGAGAAAGCTAGCAAGGGATGAGGGCTAGATAAGGGTTATAGTTCCCAAAGAGCTGGCAAGATTTCATCTTTAAAGGTCCTTAATTTCTTGAGAGAGAGCAGAGCATCAAGTTGAATCAAAAAAGTTTGTTCTCACTATGGAAACCATTCTATTTTCCTAGGCACAAGCACAGTTCAAGTCATTGGTATATGACATTGGAAGCCTATCGTAATCTGGGGTGCAGAACCATGCCTTTCTGTCTGCAATATACTTTTTCTTTTACTTATTTCAGCTACCTATTGTTTTCCCCCCTTAGAGAGGGAAGCACAAGTTATAAATGCTCATTTCATAAGGGTAAGTTCTCGGGTACAGTATCTATCACAACTTCATATGACTGAGCTCAATGGCTCATGGGATCCCTTACAGTTCTATGGGAGTTCTCCTATAGAGCATCTCTGTCATCCAGGAGGAATAAAGGCTGCTCAGGGTAAATGTGGTGCCCTACTACAGCAGAAGGTGCTTGAACCCTGTTAGTGATAACTTCCTTTAGCACGGACATACCACACTTCAGATCTCATGTTTCAAGCAACTGAACAGTGCCAGTTCATATACCAATATCAGCCATAGAGTTGCTTATCTAAGCCACTCTGTTCAAGGGATGAAAGCAAAAACAGGACTCCTACTGAACAGCTTCTTACTGTGATACTCAAAAAGGCATCACTTGCAAGAACAGTCCAACTGCTTCTTGTGCACTGGGAAGAAAGCTTCTGAGTTTCCAGCACTCAGAAAGCAGCCTAATTCAAAGGCCTTTATCTATGCTATGTGAGAAGTTACCATAAACCAACCCAGTAGCTGTGACAAAAAAAAAAAAAAAAAATCATACAGGTAAGCTTTTTTCTAATGAGAAACTGTTTATAAGAGTATTTGACATCATGCTCATAATTCACCTGAAGTCTGTCAATATATTGAAAAGGGATTAATATTTTAGATCAAGGAATTTCAAAGATACATTTTTACAACAGTAAAAAATAAACAAAAGCCAGGCTTAAATGCATGCCTATTTATCCTTTCACATGGATTTTAATTAATTTCTTCTGTCACTTTAACCAAGTGCTAAAAACATCTGTGCCATCTGCCCTGTAAGTCAACTGTGCTCTCAGATGGACTCTACTTGATTTTTCACTTCACTGCAGAAGCAAACCATTTGTGTGATGAGACACCAATATTCCTTTAAAAAGTTTTAACTTCCCCTTTAGGTTATGCTGAAGAGCTGAACTGAGGGACAGTATTCACACTTTTAAGTAGATGAACAACAGCAAACAGGTAAAACAAAGCCTCGTAAAGCCTTGCATGCACTATCTTAATTAGTTCAGCACAGAAAGGCTGTGTATGTCCGAAAAGGGATTAGACATTTAGTGTGCATCACACGTTCTTCCCCACTCCATATTCCTATCAGTCAAAGGTATCCTGGTTCCTCACCAGCACAGGTAGCAAGGAAGAAGTCTGCTTTCAGGATTTGATTTCACACTTCCATTCAGCCAGTTGCTTCTGTCTGCAGATACATATTTCAGCCCTTTTTCAGTGATGTCCATGTCTCCTTTGCCTTCTTTCATTGATAGTTCAGCCAGCTCTTACTCTGCTGCCTAAATTCAGACTCAGATACCCATCCTCACATGAAAGCACAGTTTCAAATCAGATTACTCACAGAGCATAGTAGTAAACTCAAGGGTCTAAGAATTCAGTTTCTTACAAGATAGGTTTCCCAGTCCTCCTCTCAGAGGTATTTGAAATCCACGTACCTTTGCACCGGCCACGATGTGTCACGCTCAGACTTGACTCACGGCATTTGGCTCTCTGGTAGTCGCACATGGACTCGTATGTTCTGCCGTCAGAGGCACACAGGGGTTTGGACTGGGACCTGGAGCAATGCAGGTTACACTGAGGGTCTCTGTCGCGGTCGCTTATTAAAAACTGAAGGAAGTGAAAAAAGGAGGGAGAAAAAAAAAAAACAGTTGTTTTGTTTGGTTTCCCAGAACAGAGCATGGTCTATTTTTTTTTATGACAATAATAATATGGTCTATAATGCATTTTAAGCTGCCTACCAAAGCTGACTTTGCCTGAAGGGAACTTTAAATGAAACACGTACATCTTTTAAAAATATCAAGGGTCTTTGCCATTCCATTTTCTTTAATAAAACTAAAACATTACTCACTCTGCCTCACCTCTAAAAACATAAGATGTGCAAAGCCAAACACAACCCACACGGGAAAGGCAATACTGAGTCATAACAGCCCAACTTGCCCAGTGCCCTGCCACAAACAGTATCTGGTATTAGATAATTTTAGTCTGAGACACAAGAAACTTATCATCAAGGACAGAGGAACCCAAATAACCTATCAAGATTGGTTTCAGTAGTTGAGCCACACATGTGGCCAGCTTTATATCACCAGATATTTGGTTTTTAAAGCATTGCTTATATCATCTGTGGATATCACATACAAGGGCATACCTGCACATTCCCAAAGCCACCTTTTGTTCCTTCCTGATGACATCCAGAACAGCTGACAGCTGCATTCCATGCATCCCACAATTTAATTACACACTACATGAAAACCTATGTCCTTTCAGAAATTTAAATTTATTATCTTTTTGAATACTACTTCTTCCTGAAAATTCTATTAGGATGCATCCCATTTTGTATAAACGTGGCATTCCTTGTCAGTCTCCTAATTTGAACAATCCCAACCTCCCAATTTCTCACCCAGACCACTTCCTCCATATCACGATCACTATTGTCTTCATTCTCTGAAGACAGCTTGGCTTCTGCCTCATTTTTGGAAATAGGGAAACCCACAATGCACATGAATGGGTCCCCCTCTTCTGTCGGCTTGTTTCCTGCAAATCCCAACATCTCATCTGCTGTACTCTCAGCTCTACTCTGAGCTGCCTAGAGGGACACCCTGGTCTCTTTCCCAAGTGTCTATTGTCTTCCTGAGGATCCCAACTGACAGCCTTCTTTCCATAAACACCAGCACAAAGTTTTGGCAAGACATGATAGTAGCAGCCTGTCCTGGGTTACACAAAAATTCTGGTATCCATCTTTCCTTTTCTTTTTTCTCCAAATATGCCTTTTTGGCTTTTTGGTGTTTTGCCATCTTCAAAGAGACTGAACTGCTGTGATTAATGACTCAAACATTCAACCACCTGCAGTGACCGCCCAGGTGCTGTCAGAGACTGGATTATTGGTGCTCGTGGCTCAATCAGCAGCAACTTCCACTGACAACCACCACTTCGACCGACAAACATCGAAATTGCAACAACCAAGTCTAGTTGCTGGATGCAATTAGTGTCTTTCAGGTCCTCCCAGTTGCCAGGGGGGTCCGCAGCCCTTCTCTGACTGCCTGTACCAACACTGCAGCCTCACTCCAGCCCCACCCAAGCATCTGCAGGTACCAACTCCTAGCTATCTACCATTTCCTTCTAGCGCTGACTCTGACTGTTCCTGCCAGGTTTTCCAGGCTTGAGATAAGTGAACCATATGGAAGGACGGCCATCCTGTCTCTGTCCTGTGGTCAGAAGTGTTTTTTCCAGGTGGAGGAAGCCAGCCACCATCTCAATTTGGTCCAGTGGGCAGGGCTTGAGAAGTTTCTCCTCATCAGTTGGTTTAACCCAGTTTTAACAGTATTGTTATTAGCATTCTTCTTCATAAAGAATTATTTGCTCTCTTTTTCTCTCTCTCTGTTGGAGAAACCAGGGGTATTGAATCCGAGGAAGGAGACTTCTGTCTGAGGTCTCCATCCCTCCAAATTGTCTCAAACTGAGACAGCCCTTTTCACTTCTCATGCTACTTCTCTTAGGGGTTTAACTATTACCCCAACCCAAACACCTGCTCACAGGAAGATTTCAGGGGACTCTTCAAAGAAGTTACACGAGGATTAAGCAAAGAAAAGAGAAGTTAAACCTGCTTTGCATTTCCTTTTCTCTAGCTTCCATTTCTAAAACCTCTCACAAGCCTGGGGGCACCAGAACTGCTCTCTAACACACTGATATCCCAGTTTGCTGTCAGAGCTGGCTGGCAAGTGGGCATTGACTGACACCCTGCCTGCATGCACAAAGCCACAGCTCCCCAAGTGTGTTGATAGCTGGATGCCTTACAGGGAAGTGTGAGTCATTGCCATAATCACCTTGGTGTTACAGTTTCCTACAAAGCTGTCTACTCAATGCTTGGAGGTTAAAGCTGTTGAAAAAACACTGCCTGAAGTCTAGTTTGGGTTGGTTTTTAACCACTCTGAGAACATGCATCTCTGAAATTTGGTTGTTGGTTTGGTTTTTTTATATTAAAAAAAAAAAATTCTTCACCCCCTTTCTCCCCCCCAATTAAATGAAAAGCAATTGAGAAGTTTCATACTGCTCAATCTTTTGAAGACTGATGCATTATTAAAAACACGACACCTGGGAAAAGTAAACAAGGTTTGCCTTTTTTTTTTTTTTTTACTTTTGGTGGGGCAAACTTTTTTCAAAATCTCATCTGTCAGAGACTCACCAAAATTTGTAGCAGCATAGTGTTTTTAAAATGTTTTTGTTCCTTTTCTGCAACACTTTCTATAACCTGGCAACACTTGTTCCAAATGGGAAATTGGAAAATTTAACCCTTTAAAAAGGGAATTTTATATGGTTTATAGAGACCTGGACTAGACTATAAAAAACACTGTAAAGCTGGACCAGATTTTTTTCTTTTTAAGGGCTGGATTATCACAAGTTAGCTTGGAATTGCTCTGGCTACAGTAATGTCTTTCTGTAGCCCCCAAAATGCAATCATCACCAGTGACTGTAAAAACACAGCAAAGAGCAGCAGACTGAAGATGCTGAAGCCTTTTCCCAGCATGTGACATCAGGGATCCTGAAAGACTCAAGGTTTTTCAGCTGTCTGTATGAATAAACAGACTTAAGAGCAGAGCTGCCTGGTAGGATAGTATGGCGCACATGCAACAAATAAATATTCAATTTAACACAGAAGCCATTCCGGTTTAGAAGGAACACACATATCTTCCAAGCTGAGGGCTTGAGCTACTGGCATGAAACTTTTCACAAATTCCTTGTGTCAGAAGCTGAGTTCCACAGATCCGAGTTATCCAGAGGTGCAATGAAAAAGCTAGAACACTGGTTCTCAGCATCAAACCATATTATCAATTTATTGAAAGTCATCTTGTATCAAGAAAACTCACTTAAGCCTTCCACAGCCTGTACAAAAGCACTCAGTATAGAGGGACCTTGGGCACCAGGAACACCCCTTCTTCCAGAAAGGGCATCTCTGAAGAACAGAGGGTTATTCTCGGGGCTGACAAACAAGTTAAACCTAAGGCTGTGGAAGAGCTTTCCTCAGGTGCCTCCCTGCAGATAGAGAAACACCTCGACATTGATTAATTATGAGGGCCTGAGGAAACATGTAGAGCACCCCAGTGCAGGCCATGAAGTTCTTGCCTGCCCAAATTCAGCCAAGAATCATGTTATTACAAAAGAAAAAAAAAAAAATCAAAGCCTTTTTAGCATTTGTAATTTGGATTACAGTAGGGAGCCCACACAGCATGTTAGGTGCTTTCCAGACACTGAAGATGCCACACCTGCCTTGCCAAAAAGTTTATGGTTTACGTAGTTGCACAAGATAGTGCTTGTTTTGTTCAGGGAAATTGTAACTGTATAAGTCTGCATTAATTTCAAGACCAATCCAGGATCACGCCTGTCTGATTGGGGTTCTTCTCATGCAAGCAAACAGCCCTGCCAGAAAGGCCAGCAATACCTCCAGGAGATCCGAAGGGCTTCAAAAACACCCTTACAGTACGACACCTGCTTCACTGTAGCTCACAGCCCATGTCTTTGCTCAGCATCCCTGCCACCTTTCAGATAGTAAAATAGTGTTTCTTTGTCCCATTTCTAGCTGGTAAGAATTGATGCTACAGAAGTGATGATCAATACAGACTATCCAGAGACATTTAATATACTAGCTATTTTGAGTGTACATCCCCTCCCGCCCAGCACAGAAAGTCTTCCTTCTAGCATTTTGCCTGTTTGAGAGCATGACATCTGCCCTTCCTCATAGGCAACCTCAGCTACATGAAGAAAAACCTAGGATGAATGTCAAAATGTATCTGCCATGGGGAGACTACTTGGATCTATAATTTCAACAGCTAGGACTACAATCTTTACATTACTTCTCCCCAGTTCTTTATTCCTACTTCAAGCAAGCAGGCATCACTTTTCAAAGAACACAGCCCTGCTCCAGAAAAGCACCTTGGTCACTGCAGGAGGTACTGCTAAGCCAGGCTGAGGGCTGTGAGCAATTGTGCACAAGTTACCCTAATGCCTGGCTACCCACCCTCCCCAGACAAAGCCGAGGCAGTAACATGAGTCTCTGGTCCCTTCAGGGGAAGACTGGCAAGGTATATATTCTGCCTTTAACACCAGATGTCCTATGGTGACCCTTGAAGCTCAAATCAGAGCTTGATGTCTAAACAGCTTCAGGACACACACAGAGATAGACTTTGCAAATAACAGAATCACCACTCACAGAGCAGTGCTTGGTGCTCTACACAACAGACACACAACACGAGCAGACATGGGACTCAGGGGGAAAAGTAACTCTGCAAATATGTGCAGCACCAGTAGGTTTCCAGGCTTCATATAGAAAGAAGAACCAAACAAACAAGCCACCACCACAAAAAAACAACCCACAAATACAAAACCCCACAAAACCTAGAAGGACTGATCTATTTTAAAACTAGGAAAAAGTTAAAATTGACCAGATTGCAAATGGGGTCCCCCGAATGTAGACTCAATACTAAAATAAAGCGTAAGTAACACTAGTATTAAGCAACAGTATTTGTATTCTTGTAGCATTTGTTTACACTAAGGGAATCTGCACAGCTCCTATACCAGTCAGTTTGAGTCCCTGCCCTAAAAAGCTTCCAGTTGTA